TTCCAGTCACATATCACATCTGTTGTGACCTGTTTGTAGTTATTGAATTCAGGATGACATATGAAGTAATTAGGTTACCATATATCTAACCACTGTTAAAAGGATAGTCAAAAGACAATTGTTGGTGTATGTGTGTGTGAAAGAGAAAACAGACACAAGCCTTGGTTCTGCTTTTGTGTAGACCATCTTAAAATGCCCCTTACCTAGTAGCTTTGTCTGCAGGGCCAACTTTAGGCTAAATCTGTAGCATAGCTATGATTTATTTTTGTAGTATGAGTGTATCAGGCACCTCCTGCTATAGGAATATTTCTGCATAAGGGCAAGTGCTTGTCCTGGCTTTGTCCTTTTGAGGGAGAAATGTCTATGACAGTCTGTAAATCCACCAGTATTCCTTGTATTCTGTTGTACAAACTTTGTGGTTCTGTGATTTGCAGTGGCTACAGCAACTCCTTACATTCCAAAGAAATATTAAAAACTATGTTCTTACTTTTTCTTTTCAATTTCTTTTCAAATATGTCCTATGTCTTTGTAAATTGCTTGCCAGAAATACATCTGTACCTTTAATGAATTTGCTCAGCCTTCAGAGTTTTGTGCTTTTCAGATAAACTACCAGGTGTATTTCATGCTTATGTTTTTGAAGACTGATAAATTAAAAATTTGTCACCTCAAAAGTTCCAAGAAAAGTTTTCAACTGAATTCAATACCTGGATAAACTTGCCGCCACAATATGACAAGCAGGCTCTAAGTGACCTTTTGTAAAACTAGTTGTTTTCCAGCTTTTGACTCTTGCAAATGACAGAAGTTGAAGTGGTGCAATCAAATAAGCTTTCCTTTAGCCACTGATAATACACATGGAATGTGATGTGCTCACAGTTGTTCAAAAAGACATTGATAGGAGGGTTTGTGTAATATCTTCACTCTATGAACTTCAACTGTTGAGACAGCCAACCCTCCAAACCATAATTTTCCTAGTAAGTCAGGACCCATTACTGTGACCTCTGAAACCAATTTAGCTGGCCAAAGGCTCTAACACTGTTTGTCACACTGAAAAAATAGATCTGGGGACTACCACTCAAATATTTGTGTTAACTTTTAACTAACATAGACAATGAATAAATTCTTCCCTTTGACCTTTCTGTAAAATTCAAAAGTAATGAGGCCCAAATGTGAGAGAGAGGTTGTGTGGGCTGAGCCCCAATTTGTGGTCAAGACTGCCAGTGTAATTCAGTTAGGTCCTAACTTATGTGGTGCCCAGGGAACTTTGAACCCCCAAGAGGACTTTACTTCAAGTGAAGTGGATGAAAATTGCAACTTTTTTGTTTATTTTCTTCTATTTTAGACTGAAAGCCCAATGTAATTTAATTCCAAAGCCGTTGCACTGACCTCAGGGCTGAGGTGTGGAGAGGTCAAACGACTTTCCCTGGCCAAACAGGACGCATGTGGCATAGCCATGAATAGGTTCCAAAGTGCTGTCCCATGTCAGAACTCTAAGGCCATTCTTAGTATGACAAGAGCTGTTCTATTTTAGGCAGATCCTATCATTTGTCCAAGTTGTGATTATGGCTTAGCTGTAATAGTGGCAGAGGACACGAACTCTAGGTACTTTTAGTAGAAGGCTGTGAATATGTCAACTGAGATCCAAGTCTGTAATTCCCTGCTGAAGTACAGAGAAAGACTGTTCATGCAACACGTGGTGAACTCTTCCCAGCAGTTCTGTGGCTTTGTATTTTAGAAATATTTCCTGATTGTCTGTATTTCTTGGTAATTCTGCTTTCTGTCCCAAGATCCGAAAGTGCCGAGAGCCATCCTGTTATATTCCTATAACGTCATTTAGAAATTAGCTCTGTTTTACAGAAAAGGACAGGAAATGAAACCTCCTGGTCAACTATTTTCATAATTAAGCAACTGAATCAAGGAGGCTCAGTTTTCAGAGCTGCTTGTAGTTCAGCAAACAGGAATGGACTCGTCAAACAACTGCTGAGCATACACTTTACACAGGGTGTTTACTATTTAAAATAAAAATTTAAAAAAAAGGACAGGATGAAATCTAAACTTGGTTATATTAATCCATATGCAACAGAACGCTGTTCTGTAACCTGTGGCTGCTCCCAAGGCTTATTGGCAGGCCTCTAACCACACTTTCCTGTTTATTGAAAAATGTTTTCCATGCACTGGTTCCCCAGACCGGCAGACACTGAGCCAGTGAACTGCACAAACCTCCCTTACCCTTTCTAACAGTTGCCTTAAAGCCAAGCAGAAACTGCTCTCTGAAAGTATTGTTTTCTCTACTGAGCCTCAGTATGCAAACACATTCATGAGAATTTTTCCAGCTTGGAAAGCAAGCCATTTGTCAAAGATCATACAGGAAATTAGTGACAGAATAAAGAATACAATTAGATTTCTTCACAAGACCTAGACTTGAAATACAAGACAGTTTTGACTTTGGAAATTTATTAATTTAAGAGTCATGTATTAAGAGATAATGTGTTTCAGGACCACCAAAAAACATCCCAGCTGAATTATGGCTAATGAAAAAAATCTGTGTCCTCATTGATGTAATCCAGTATAACTCCACTGACAATCACCTACTGCTTATCTTTTTCAGGACAGGGCTTAACACCATGAGTCCTGCTCTAGAAGTGCTTCATATATGTCAATGTCAGAAGTAAAAGTTTCTGGGCTTTGCAAATGTAATTGGCAGTCCTTGCTGAGCCTAGCCATAGAGTCTAATTTCAGCATCTGTGCACTGGGAGCAGTGGTAAACAGTGTTCCTTCTGCTTTTTTACTCCCACTGCTATAGAGGACAACCTGCATTGAAGACTAGAGTTAGAGAGGAAGAAAAATATAAGCCTGGAAAAATAATTGCATTCTAAAGGTGTGCTCTTTCACTGGAGTTTTAAATTACAGGAGGCTTGGGAAATATTTGGCATTTATTTGGATATGTGTTTTTTCTTCTGTGATACATAATCTTTAAAATGCTAAATATAAAATTAACGTTGGGCAGTAGGCAAATGTTTATCATTGTCATTATAGTTGGAATTTTTTTTGTTTAGTTGCATAAATTTGATTTGAAGGTACAGTTTTTTGTATAGGCAAACCCACTTAAAAATCCAGTTGTTAACCTGACTGTCCTCTGAAACTGTCCAAATATAATATTCCAGATGTTAATGGTACTGCTCCATGTTTATACTCTTCTCTCAGCAGCTGTTAAGCTGTTTGAAAAAATTACTCAGATGGGTGGTGGTGGTATTTAATGCAGAATCCACCCCCAAGGGGCATGTAATTACATAAATGCAGCCCAATAAGTATCATTTATCAGGACAGCAAACCAAATAACATTCTTTCAGCCTGATGTAAATCACAAATGCTATCACAGCCTCTTGACAGAACAGGCTGTGCTGACTTTTACTACATATTTTTTTAATCAAGAGATATAAAATTACACAACCTTTTTTTCCCTTCCCTGTCTATCCATCTACAAATGAGAAGTCTAATCCTGCTAATGCGTGTCCACATGCGTAGCTTTGCTGATGTGAGTAATCCTTTCAAACTGGGTGAACTACTTTTTGGAGAAAAGGTAAGTACAGGAATATGAGTTTGCAATGTGGTTGTGCAAGCAGCATGCTCTGGAGACCCCTCTCCTTCTGTCCTTAGCATGCTGTAATTAATGGCATTACAGGAATGCAGGACTGAGTTCCAAAAGTGTGGGCTGAATTTTGGTTTAGGAATGGAGACAGCGTTCAGAAATGTAGTGGTAAGATAAATGATAGTGCAGCTAGTAGACTGCTCTCAGGCACAGGTCTTCAGTGCAGCTGAGTCCAGCCAAACTGTTCACCTTCAAATGATGACAGAGTTTCGCAGAATAATTGTTTTGATCATTGCAGAGACTTCTGTCTGACTGCGGCCACCTGTGATGTGCTGCAGCTTTGTCTATACTGCAAACTAAACACTGAAATAATACTGTGAAATAATTTCAGACTGCTTCTCTTTCTGTTGTTCAAACTCTATTTCCTGTCTGTTTTCCCATTAATTTCTTTTTTTCCTCTCAGTTTTGGTTTATATTCCACTTTCCCCTCCCCCTCACCTTTTCTCCCACCCACAGAAAGAATTTCCATGTGAAAAAATCATGTTGTACTTGCAAGTTCCAGAAGCTTTTGCAAGAGAAGAAAACTGATAAAATTCTGTCTTAAAAAAAAAGAACGACACACAAATATTTTAATTTATAGATTTTATTATGTGCTTCTTGTTTATTGGAAGCTTTACTTTCTTTCATCTATGACCTGTTTCTCAGCTCTCTAGTAGAAGAACACCACAGTGTGTATTATCCCTAGAATATGTTCTATATTTCCTTCTCTACATTCTTGCTGTATTAAGGAAGTCCAAGATGTTAAATGGGCCTGAAAAACATCATTTCTTGATACGAAGACGTGCATGAAAGAGATTAATAAACCCATGAACTTTTAGTTGCTGGAGAAATCACTGTCTGTCATTTTGTTAACTATAATTTGAGGCATCGTGGTGGATGAAATTTTATAAAAGATGTCTTCCTGGCATTTTAAGTGATTTTTTTTTTCCTACATAGATGTTTAATGCTCCTCTGATTTTAGACAGATATAATCCATAAAATTTGCTTCACATAGGAACAGAGCAGCAAAGTATGAAATCTGACCAGAAAATATTAGCACAGTCATACTTGAATAAAACTTTGCATCTGGTCTCCTAGAAATTTATCAGTGATACTGTGCTCAGTGATGTCTGTTAAGAAATTAACGTAAAGAAAAACAGTTATTGAAGATTTCAAGTTCTGTTTTGATTTGAACATTTCTTGAAATGCCTGTGACCAAATTTCTTCAGGAGTTTTGACAGATAAAAGGTGATAAATTTGCCAAACTAAGGCAATGTTTTTGGTTTATGATCAAAAACTTGAAAGATTGCAGTTTACTATTTACAGTGCATTAAAACATTTCTCCTTTGACAATTTAATTTCTTTTCTTCCCCAGGAAGCCACTCTGCAAGATGACATATGAAGATTATGAGAGCTACTCTTATTTCTACAATGCATCTGAGGAAGATGAGTCACCCCAGTCCTCCCTCAGCATTGCCCATATTATTTCCCTTTTCTTTTACAGTGTGGCATTTCTGCTGGGAGTGCCAGGTAATGCCATTGTCATCTGGTTTATGGGCTTTAAGTGGGATAAATCTGTTTCCACACTCTGGTTCCTGAATCTGGCCATTGCAGATTTCATTTTTGTTCTCTTCCTGCCCCTCTATATTACATATGTGGCAATGGGTTTCCACTGGCCTTTTGGGAAGTGGCTCTGCAAAATGAACTCATTCATTGCACTACTTAATATGTTTGCCAGTGTTTTCTTCCTGACATTCATCAGCCTTGACCGCTACATCCGCCTTGTCCACCCAGTCTTTTCCTACAAATACAGGACTGTAAAGAACACCCTCCTTCTGAGTGGGGTCATTTGGATGTCAGCTGCAATTATTGGTGGCCCTGCCTTATACTTTAGAGACACAGCTACAGGCCTCAACAATGTCACCGTTTGCTTCAACAACTTCCATGTACACGACAGAGAACTTATTTTGCTGACACATCACATTCTCATTTGGGTGAGGCTTGCATTTGGTTACCTCTTTCCTTTAGTGACCATGGTTATTTGCTACTCATTGCTGATTGTCAAAGTGAAGAGGAGAACTGTATTGACTTCTAGCAGGCTTTTCTGGACCATTACTGCTGTAGTTGTAGCTTTTTTCATCTGCTGGACACCATATCATATATTCAGCATTGTGGAGCTGAATGCTCACCATGATGAAAATTTGCACGACTTACTACAGGATGGCATTCCCCTCTCCACTGGCCTTGGCTTCATCAACAGTTGCCTCAACCCAATCCTCTACGTTCTGATTAGCAAAAAGTTCCAAGCCCAGGTGAAGAGCACGGTGTCTGAGGTGCTGAAGCTGGCGCTGTGGGAGGTGAGCCGCTCGGGGACGGTCAGCGAGCAGCTGTGGAGCTCGGACAGCGCTCCTGCGCACTACTCTGAAACCGCCCAGTGACTCTCGCGGCACCTGCTCTCCCCAAAGGAGCTGACAGGAGATTTGCAAGTCTTCTTGACTTCACATCTGCCAGTCAGATGTGCATCTTTGCATATACAGTTTTCTGTAAACAGCTGGCTTAATTGTGCTTGCTGCTTTAATTTTGAAAGGTTTTTAAGGGACACGTGATTTGGATGTGTGCCCTTGCAATGCACATACAGCCTGAACTGAAAGTTATCAGCATAGGTGGAATGACTCTAACTGGGCTTTTGATAAGGAATGTTGTTGTCATCCTGTTGATTTGCTGTGGTTCCATACCTCATTGATATCAAAAGGACACATAATAAAAATATTCCTCCTTGCCATTGCTGATACCACTCTTAATTGAGGCATTCTCATGCAAGAGGCTGTGGCCATACATCACTGCGTCATGAGTCTCCTGATTGCCTACTACTGCCCCAAGGAGGAACACCCTGGCTACATCCCACCTAAATGAAACTATTAGTGCCACCATTCTGCAGCTGGAGAAGAATCTCAAGATGGAGAACACTCAATTGCTGCCTTCTATTGTCAAAAAAGAAAAATATGGAAATATAACCTGTCTTCTCTGCCTGCTCTTTATCTTACACTCAAAACTAAGACAGGAGACCTTGTGTTTTGGGGTCACTTACTGTATTTTTAGCACCAGCTGGGTGCAAAATTCTGAGCAGATGTTTCATATAAGTATTACGCTCATTCAAAATGTGCAAAGAATTAGTGAAAATATTTCTTACAACTTCTGTGTCACACTTCTTTTTCTGTTTAAAATGTTAGTCCTACAGAGATTTACAACTAATGATTGCTCTTTATTACTCTTTCAAGCAAAGATAAAGAAATAATATAGCATTTTGTTTGCCTTAATGTCAAGCTTAAAAAAATGGGTGGAGTGAATTCATCAGTATTCTGTTACAAGTCTGAAGCCAAATTTGGATTTCTTTTCTAAGTAAGAGGCAAGACAGTTCATCCAGGAAATGGAGTCCACTCCCATAAGAAAGATGAAGTAGTCCTAATTATGCTGTATGCTGTTCCAACTTGTTGCTTCTGCAGAATCACACATACATCAATGCAAATATATATATGCTATGTGGAGTGAACCAATTTCTGATGCAGTACTACTTAATTAAAAAGTTGAATGTGGGACAAAACTCTACTGAAAGTAAAAGTATGGAGCCTTGGGAAAATTTGAACTGTTATTTCCTAGTTATTGGCCTAGTTATTGCCTTTCAGATAATTTACCTAGTTAGTATGGCCTGCCAAAACATTAGTAGCATTAATGCTATAATTAAGTCCTTATGCGTAAATAGATTTGCTTTCCTATAAAATATGTATGAGCACATTGGTAGCTGCACAAATAGAAACAGCCTGACTGTGGTCTGTAACTATTTCTTTGGGCTCTGGTTTCAGAGTCTAAGAGTCAGGCAGGATCAGTGGAATTTTGGAGTATTTCCCTTTGGGTTGAAAAGCTGGTAAGCAGCACTCTTCCTTTGAGTCATTTGCTGCCTGGTACATAGTTGCTCATCGTAATGTTTTGGCACCATGCTGCTGTATGTGCCTAAATCAAACATTTTGCAGTTTTTCTTCACATGTTCCCTGACATCTTTCTAAGAATGATGTACTCTCTTGGCTGTAGCCCAAGTGAAGTAATAAAATATTCTTGTTTCCAAAAAGCATATTCATTTGCTTTTCTTAGCAGCAATGTGTGGTGACTGGATTTTCTTGTAACAGCTCCTTCCCAAAGATTTTGGAAGGTGAAGTCAAGCCCTGGCCTTTCTACCATGGGATTTAAGGTTTATGTCAGCTTTCTTCAGCTGTGTGCACGCACATGTTCCTACATACAGCACAGAGACTGATTTTCAAATGGGGGAGCATATATGTCCCATCTTGGATAAAGGATCAGAAAGTGAAGCAGACAGAAGGAAGACAGGATAGAACTGAATAAGGCCAAAATCAGCCTTGATCTATGGCATTAAGTGGATTTACAATTGTGCAATGTAAGAGCTACCATTCACACCAAGATCAGTTACAGAATTATCTAAATCATGTCTTCAAGAGTAAAGCAAGATAGCTAAACAAAACAGATAATGCTCTAAGTTTCTGTTTCCAAAGAGTCTCCAAAACAATACCAACAATTCTATGCTGCTTGGATGAGGAACACTCATTCGACTCACCACCATGGAAAAAAAAGGGCCAGAAAAAGGAAAGGAATCTGTGTCATCATGCAAAGAGATACTATAGAAATAGCTATTCACACATTTCATAGTGGACAGGATCTAGTTACTTTTATCTTCTTCCAGGACAGTTTGTGTTTCTGAAGGGTTTTATGTAGATTAGTTTTTGTTAAAACTGTTTTCCTAGCATTCCTGTATAGAGCTTACTGAAGTTATGGAATTTTCTACTGATCCCTCTGTTACGGGGGGCATATGGGGCACTTGCCCCTTTTATTCCAGGGTGCTGATTTTTCACAGGCACAATTTCACAGTAATATACCAGCGCATACCCAACACCACCTAAAACCACCTAACACAAATATATGTGGATTGAGCAGAATACTCTTGCCCACATACCCTATTTTTTCACTGGGAACACTGTGATCTCTAGGATTTTTTTGTTTCTTTTGTTTCTGTGCAACTTTCTTTTTAATATCAGGGTAAAAAAAAAAGCCCTGCCAAAACCCAACAAGACATGACGCACAAGAAAGCTCAAGAACCAAAGAGTTTGTGTGTGCATGCTTAGTATAAATGTAACACACACAAATCCAGTCTGGCAGGTCACATGGATGACTCAGTGCTGCATTTTAACAAAGTTACCACCTATAAATCAATCCATTTTATCCACTTAGGGCTTTAATTTGAAAGCCAAGAAAAGAGTATCAAGGTAAGCAGCACGTTGAATGGGAGGTCAGAGAAAGTGATGGTCAAGAAAACTAAATCTGTATTTTTAAGGCAGAATTTTTAATAATTTGTTTGTCTGATACGGTGCTTGCCAATTTCTTACTTTTAACAGTACCATGACAGAATTGGTAAAACTAAGCTACATTATTTAGCAGAAGCAACAGCTAGAGAATTGCCACAGAAAGGGTATTGTTTAGGAATTAGGTTTATGGAAGGTGGCAAGTGAGCCTGTAACAATACTCACTTTCAGATCTTTAACCATGCTTTAAGCCTCTAGCAGGCAGATTTTTTTTCTGAGACAAATTATAAACAAAGCTCTTACATAATCTGAAGTTGGCAGACATTTAAACAAGGAGAAAGAGGACCTGCTGTGCCAGATAAGCACACAGATGCTCTGTGAAAAAAACAACAAAAAGAGTTACTTAAGATGCAGCTGTCAGACTCTGACACTGGGCATCTTCATCTCAGAGTGACCGACGTGGCACATAAAAGGATTCCATTTCATGGTCACAATAAATCCTGTCAGTCCAATGCAAGGCATAGAATTATGAATTTGTTTAGAAGATTCACAACTTTGACAGCTTCTACATTTGTATCAACCTATAAACAGTTTTTGGGACTTATTCCTGCTGGTTCTTCAATCACTAAAAGAAATGTCAAAATCAATCTAGAAACCAATCTGGAGCTGAGTAAACAGCTCAAACTGCTGTTACTTTCACTACTTGTATATCCTGTACTGTGTTTGCATTTTCCTGTGGGTCAGACAGAGCCCGCGGCTCCGGCCGTGCTCCCGGGGCAGGCGCCGGCCGCGGCACCGCTGGGCTCGCAGCGCCCCGCGCCGGCAGCGCCGCCGCACCAACATTATTACCTGCTTAATTAAAACACAAAACTCGGCGTAATTTCATTGCAAATGTTTCCAAGCCTCAAGAGAAAAAAAATGTTCCAAGTCATAGAACAGGTGAGACAGTATCAGGGTAGTCTCAGGCCTTATCTCTACAGCACTGGAAGTCACTTTGAACTTAAGTTCCGTCTCCATCAACGAAGGCCATGCTGTATTTGGTTAGTCACCATCCTTACTAAACGAAAGGAATTCATACTGTTTACCCACTAAAACACGCACTCTGACTGAGCCCTGCTCCCTTCCCTTAGAACCATGCCTCCCTCAAGAGGAATCCCAGACATTTCCAAAGAAGCAATTTCCTCCACAGATGGAGGAAAGTATTTCAATATTTTAAAGCCACGGTAATGTTAACTCTGAAGTAATGCTCTGCTCATACTCCTGGGTACTAAATTCAGTTTCAGCTTCTGCTTTACCCATGAAGAAAACCTTACATTTGTGAGCTAAGATTCTGAAACAAGCACAGACACTGCACATTTTTTGCAACAACATTTATTCTAGGTATATCAAGACTTAAATTTTATTGAAAGCAGCTACATCCATTGATTGTACATAGTCTTCAAAAGCCGTTATTCTCTCTTCCAGCATATCTGTTCCAACTTTATCATCTTCAACAACACACTGGATCTGAAGCTTTTTGATACCATAGCCAACAGGTACTAGCTTGGCTGCAAAAAAAAAAAGCATTTAGTACTCCTTTTTTGATGGAATCCCTTAAAAAAACAGACCTAAAAGTGAGCTGACCAAAGCAATTTTCAGGATATATAAAACAGCCTTTGGTCCACATTACAGACCATCTAATTAAGAACCCAGCATTCATGAAAACTCATTGAAAAAGTTTCCTTCTGTGGACCTCCACCCCTTCCCCAAACCAGTGATGTGGGTGCATAAAGGTGTTTGCTGCATCAGGAATTGTACAGGGAGATGCAGGAGAGCAGAGCTTAAGTCCTGTAGCTTTTAAAACCTGTATTTGAATCTTAACTAGGCCACTGAACCAATACACCTTTTCAGACCATGCAAAGACACTGAAATACTGCAGTATTGCAGTTCCCCTGTTACAGCTACCTACATTTCATACATCAGCAGTGACCACAAGTCCCACTACTCAGTACTAGCCCACAAACCTGCACTCTCCCCCACACCCTGCTCTGAAATTTCCCCATACTTACAAGATCCCCAGACCAAGCCATCTGCTTGAATGCTTCGAACACACTCCTCTAGTTTGGCCATGTCTGTCTCATCATCCCAAGGTTTCACATCAAGCAAGATTGATGACTTTGCAACAACAGCTGGTTCTAGGGGAAGAAAATCACCATGAAAAGATAGGTATCTTCCAAAAACTCATGAATACACTTGCAAACAGGTTTTACAAGAGCAACTTATCCCATTTCACGAGCAAGAACCTGATGACATTGCTGTGACAGGCCTCTGGTACCATTTCTGAAGTACTGCAGCTGTGTACATCCCAACTTTCAATATGCAGATACATTATGTATACACAGATTTGAGCAGATGACAGTGTTTGTTACATAGGAAGTCCTTCTCAGAACATCTGAGAAGGAGCCTAATGCTGTGTAACAGTTTATTTTCCACAGATGGAATACTGCAACTGCTACAGTTCTGAACAGTTCCAGACCAGTAGCTGTGGAATAACTTGTGTACTGCAGCACTTTCACTAAAATTTTGAAGAAAATCCTTGTAGAAAGCCCAGTCTCTGGAAAGAACAAGCAGGAGTGTATGAACCAGAACAAAAAACATGTTAACATTCCTATTTGCACTGGGAAGGCTGAGCTCACTGGCAATTCAAGTGAAGCTAATCACTCCTGTCTCATTCCAGTCAAGCTGATCTATTATTACAGTTAATTAGTCTTTCTAGCCATCCTGTTCAAATGCATAAAAATTAACTCCAGTGTAGAAGATTGGAAAGTTCTCGGCACACATACTTTTGGACTTCTTAGATTCATACTGGGCCAGACGCTCTTCCCTCAGTTTCTTTGCTTCTTCACTTTCCTGAAAGACAAATTTGCAGTTACAGAAAAAAGCACCAAACCTCCACATCTCCAAAGCACTACACCAGACTGGCATTTACTCAGATAAAAACAAATCATCACACTTGTCAGCCGAAAGATGGTGATTTTTTGTTTTACTCATCATGTAACCAGCCAAAATTAGACAGCTCATCCCATTCCAGCACCTTATTTTCTAACTTTTGAGTTTTTACCTTCCAAGCTTCCCTATTCTGCAAAGATAGCTACACTTGGGTATTGCAAGTAGGATCTATTATCAAGGTTGGAAACATAAGTAACTCCAATTAGGTCAAGGTGAAAAAATCTGCACACCTGATTTAATTTCTAAAGCGTAACAGGAATAATACAAAAAGGTCAAAAGTACCTCCTCATCATCAGATCCAAAAAGGTCAATGTCATCATCATCTTTGCTATCTGTGGCCGCACCTGTTGTATCCTCAACATCAGCAGGACCATATTTTCCCAAAGCCTTCTTTACTCCTGGCAAGCTGAAAGAAAAATACAGGTATTAGGAACCTCCTCAAACATCAATACAATCACTGCCAGCTTATCAATGCCCCTACAAAGCTATTTATAATCAAAAACTTGTGCTAAAAAGAGTAAAAATCCAGTTTTGCTACTTGAAATCAGAACCTCGTGAAAGCCAGCCCCAACACTCCTGACATGCCAGCTGAGTAATCTGTGAATATGGGATTTGCTGTAGCTCAGAGCTGGTATGATCCTGCCCAACTAAGTACATGGATAAGAAAAGCTTTCTTATTGGAATCCTCTATCTGCACTACATTCTGTCTAGGAGGAATTACCAACTTCATGTACGTGCTTCCCTGGAACTACTTTCACTTGTTTAAAAC